ATAACCTTGCATGCCTTCTTTTTCTGCATACTCACAAATGCCCCAATTTAGCTTCTTGTTAAGTTCTTACAAATAAGGAATATTATTTAATAAAACCCCAGAATTCTATCTGAAGAGGCACAAAATTCTTCTGTAAAAAAATAAAATTATTTTGTTTCAACAGGAACATGATTAGTGTATGACATGATCCTGCCCACGTCTTATTCACTGAAGATTCCCCAGCATTTTAAATGTGTTATCATCTGTCCATTAATCTTATTTCCAAAATATTGCTAGATTATTATCTACTGACACTATTCAGTATTTCTGTTTGTTTTATAAAAAGTGCTGTTTTTGTAGAAACAGGCTTCTTTAGCACATTATGTTTATTATATTTTCTTGAGATGCTCAAGGCTGCCCAACAGCATCAGTACACCTTCCACTGAATATATGTTAAGAAACAAGATCCAAGTTTAAATTAACTCCTTTTTATTGAGGTTAATAAACTTCGCATTAAGATTAAAACTCTTTTCCCTTAAGCTACTATGTGAGGTATGCAACATTCATAAATAGACTTGGATGAATATTCCTTTAACTGAACTACTGCCTTTTCCCATTTATTTTAAATAATTTTTATAGGAAGTTTTAACAGCAATAATAAGAACTAATATCAACTAAAATAGAACAAAAAAGAAGAAAGCGAAAGGAAGAAATAAAAAAAGCTAAAAGTGCAAAAAGAAAAAAGTAGAAAAAAAAGTTATAAAGAAAAATATAAAGAAGTGGCTTCCAGTCTTCTTTACAGCAGTTATAAGAACAATTATATTTTAACCTCTCTAAAGTTACATCATGACTCTCTTCTTTCTATAATCTATCCTGTCTAATCATCAAAACCATAAATCACAAGTTCTTTTTCATGCAAAAAGTCCATAAAGGGTTTCCAGTCAGCAATAAATGTAGAATACTGTCTTTTCTCTAATCAAAGAAGTCAATTTAGCCATTTCAGCAAGTTCTGTCATCTTCACCAACCATTCCCCTTTTGTAGGTATTGCCAAATCTTTCCATTTTTGTGCATACAATAATCTTGCTGCAGTTATATATTCCGTATTCTGTGGCTCTTTTCTAGCTGTTTATCCATCAGTCCCAAGAGGAAAAGTTCTGGTATCAGGTGAATATTAATCTTTAGAATTTTCTGAATCACTGTATGTATTTGAGCCCAGGATTTTCTAGCTTTTTTACATGTCCACCAAACATCATAAAGTGACCCTTCTTGTTGTTCACATTTTCAACATAAATTTGAAGTACCTTTGTGCATTCTAGATAAATTTTCTGGTGTCATATATCAACAGTACATCACTTTAAAAAAATTCTCGTTTATTGTCGATTCAGAGACTGTAAAACTGGCCTATCTTTGTTATCATCATTTACATGCTGTATCTTAAATAACAAACATGTTCTCCAATGGCAAATCATTATGTAGCCAAAACAGTAGGATTCTTATGCACACAAATGCAAAATGTATTTAGGAACCATCCCCCCAAATAAATAAATCCAAACTTTAAAAATTCTATGAAAGATCAGGCATTCTTGATCAACATGCTATACTAACTGGGTGAAGAAGAAAAAAAATAATCAGAGGGAGAATAGAATGGAGTATCCTAGAAAAAGATACAATACTGAACCAAACATTCGAAGCTGCAGCATTGGCTCCCTAGAACCTCTTTTTCAGAGTGGAAAGACCAACATTTTCCCTCCATTTTCGTGGGCTTTCAGGAGCAAAATGGATGCTTTAAATGTTCATTTTCATTCCTTAAAAGTCCTGAAACTTTAATGTGCTGATGTTTCTTTGGAGAGGGGGTTAGAGAGGTTGAACGAGAAAAATATTTGCCTTAAGCTTCTGCAAGTTTGAAAACACCCATTTTTCTCCTTAACTCCCCCTAAAGGACTAAAATTCCCACTCTGCCCCATGACCTCTTGCCACTAGCAGCCCCAGACCAAGCACAATGTCAGAGTGCAGTCCCTAGGCTAGAAAAAAAGGTTATTTATCTCTGTCTTGGTGTCTGCATATGTTAATAACTCTGATTAGTCAGGCAATCCTTGCGAATGCTAGTTGCTTTTCTCTCCTAGTGAACTGAAAATATACATTAAATATTGTATTGTGCATTTAATAATGTAAAAACAATACAGGTGTTCTAAATCAAGAAAGATAATTAGCAACTAAAATGCTCTGACTGTATTCCAAAATGCCTAGTTTGTTAACAGGTATAGTACTGTTTATCTTACAGATGAAAAAAAAATTTTTTTCCTTAAGAAGGTACAGTATGAAAAGAGTCAGTTGCATGGGAGTCACAGAGTGCACACTATAACAGACTTGCAGTTTCTGTGTGACAGGGGAACAGAGAGCTGCCTAAAATGATTTAATAGTTATACATTGCTCTAAATCATAGGCCGTTGTACAGTCAACATATAAATGAATATTTAGATAAAAAGCTATAATAAAGAAGATACAACATTAGAACATAAGATGGATTTTTAAATTTACTATAAAATTAAGTACCACCTACTATTAGAATATTTTTTTCTCTTGCATTTAATCATAATAAATTAACTGGTGGTTTTTACAGAGCATTCCAGACCTGTTGGTTTCCTTTTGAATTTTATGTTTTCTTTAGGCATTCACTTTCAAGGTAACATTTTTTTAAAATTCTGATGAGAAAACTCAGAAATATCTGTGTGTAGATTGGATTTAGATATTCCATAATTTGTCGTCTTTTCTTTGCAGAGTAAGCAGGATGGTTTTGATTGCAAAAATGAGGAACTGGAAGACTGCTTGTTACCTGCATTAAAATGGATTATTTATTACTAGAGGTAAAGATGAAGCTTATTCCTTTAGTAATAAATGCATATTTTTGCAAAGTTTCTGTGTAAGTCTCACTCTTAACATAATGTAATAAAGAGGTAGAAAATCTATATTCTCTACCAAGCTGATGGATTTATGAAGGAAATAATGTTCTGACTACTTGTTGGATCTTTAACACTTTATAGTAAATGAAATAAATGAAATGAAATGTTAAGTATTGTAAGGAGGAGTAAGTATTGTATTATTGACCACAGGGACCTGCAGATATACATCTTTGATCAAGCTGATCACTAGCCAAAGGTTTAAAGCTTGGCAATTCCACTGTGATACTTCTGAAAGTGACCAAGTATGCTTGGTCTATACTTGACTGTGTTTGGGGAAGTGTTTCCTTGTAATTTTACTTTTTATTATACTTCTACATATTTTGGGGTATAACAGAGCACGTTTCTGACTGACCCTGGTTTGGCCCTAATGTGATTGGCATTGCATTATTTGAGTTTGTTATTGGAAAGGATTATATCAAGAGTTCATTAGCAAGCAGAAAAAAGTGCTTCTGGTTGCTATGTTAATTGACAGCATTCTGAGTCCACTTATTTTAAAGCATAATAAGCAAAAGGCCAGTGTCTGCTTTGGACATTATGTTAAATTATGTTGTAAGATTATGTACATTATGAGTAATAGTGAGCCTTGAACTTACACACTTGCCTACCTTCCCCTGGCTCAGTCAGGAGGAACTCAAGAGGCTTTTGGTTTGTTAACAAGCCAGAATTATAAACCATTTACTATTGGTTTGTTTGAACAAAACATAGTTTAAATGAAAGAACGTTCCTAGTTTGGATGTGACAAAGAATTCTGGAAACATTTACTTCTGCTTTAAAATTGATCAATCTTTTCCTTATAACTACACTAGAGTAAGAGAGAAGAGCCAGAATCTGGATGCTGCTGATATACTGATTGCTCAGCTGGGTTTTATTGTTATATCCAAAATGGATTAAAATAAGCAATCATCATTATCTGCATTTAGAAAATCAGGACACTCATCAAATGAGTGTACAAGTTAAATACAATTTCTGCTGACATTGCTCAAATGACCTTTCTGCCTGTATTTGCTTGTTCAGCATAAATGTGTATAGAAGCCCCACCTCAAATGAAATCCAGAAACCTACAGGTGTATGCATGACAGTTTTCTGCAGACATTTACAAAAATGTCAGTAGAAGAAAGATGTTGTTTGGGGGTGGGGGCCACTGTCTTAATCAGGGTGTTTCTGTCGTTATCGCTTCAGCTTTCACCCTAACAAGCCCAGCCCTTGTTGTGGAATTACAACAGTTTTAAAGTTTGTGTATCTTTCACTGAAGAGAAATAGAAGATATTTTCTTTGCTACACAATCTAATGCAGCATGATTTGCTATTCTAAGAGTAATTAAAGATTGAAAAATTATTTTGTAGCCAAATTCATCGAATTTGAAGTGTGCTTAGAATTTGCCACCTTAGATAAAGAAACGTTTTCTTTCCCCCTGCTTCCCTTTCCCTTGTGTCATGTGCAAGGCTAACATTAAAAAGTTATAGGTCATTCTAAAGATGGATGTGAAGCAAAGGAGCCTGTTTTTGTTCACTACAAAAAGCAGATAATGAATTAGTAGAAATTATGTTTATGAGTGTGATAGATGTGAGTATAAAGTCATTTACGAGTCATATCAATTGTCTTCTTTTCCTTCTTTTCAGTAATTAAGTTCTTTGCAACTGTTCTACAGCATCTCTATCTACATAAAAATGAGCGAAGTGCAGGCAATGGTAGAATTCTCTGTGGAGCTCCACAAATTTTATAATGTGGATTTGTTTCAAAGAGGGTGAGTTATTTTTCCTCCCATACAATAAATGTTATGTATCCTGATGGTGTTATTGCAGACATCTTTGTATAGGAAGACTTATTGGGTTTTAATGCAAATCCTGAGATAAAAGGTAGCTGGGGACATGGATCTTACCTTGCTAAATATTACTTATCATCAGCTAAGTAGTTTGAAACATCTTTTTGAGTTGATAGATGAGAAAGAAAGCTGGATTGAAAATATTTCTATTTTTAAAAGTTTATTAACATTTGACATTTGTAACTCTGTAAGGATTTTAAATTAAAATAACAACCTAAATACACTTTGATATTGAGGTTTCTGTGACATTTATAAATATAAATCTAACACAATTGTGACTTAGAGTTTTCTCAAAAGCCTTTAAAGTAGAAGTCTGGTTTCTGTTGTTTATGGTATGGCGGTTTTGTCATCAGTATCTTCATTCCTGAATCTCATTGTGTGCATGTTGCTGTTCTTTTTCATGTCCTATATAATGGAATTTCTTTGTGGCCGTTATTTTCTTGAAAAAAGAAAAAAAATATTCATTACATGCTAAATCATTCAAAATTATGGATATTCACATGTCCTTTTCTTGTGTTTTGAATGTAGAAATTTCCATGCTAAAATTTATTAGATTCTGTGGTTGACTTAGACCCAGTTTGGTGTCATGGTTAAAAATGCTAGACTAGGAATGGGGAAGCTTGAATTCTAATCCTCCCTCAGGCATGAAGGCAGGTGAATGACTCAGCCAGTCACACTCTCTCAGCCCTAGGAAGAAGGTATTGGCAAACCAGTTCTGGAAATGTTACCATGAGAACTTGGATGCCCAGGAATCAGGGTTGATATTAAAGACCAAAACTACAACATAGAAGACTTACTATACATTGTAAAAATTTATACTCCTCCCTCCCAAGTGTTACTGAATATTCAAATATATCCTTGCTTTTCAATAGCAGTGTCTGTACATCCCACCCATAACATCTTCTACATCATCAAATTTAAGTCCATCCTATATTTTAGGAATTTCTTCGAGGGAAAAACTTCCTGTCCTATTGGATAAATGCGAAAAATAAATTGATTCCTTTTATTCACAATAAATAGTTATGATTTTAGAGGAGTATTTTCCTGAGTGCAACAGCAGTCAGATTGAAAACTGTTTAACTGTATATTTGATCTGCGCACCGAGTTCTTGGTAGTGTACAAATGTGTTAAATATTGAATAAAGGAAATGAAAAAAAAAACAATAAAAAGCATAATTGTACAGATAAAAACAGCAGAAAAAGTAATAGGCAATGACACAACAAAATAGTATTCAGTAACTCTAAAATAGTTTCCTATGGAGTCCTTGGGGTTCTCTGAGCTTGGTTGTTTTCTTGTAGATGTTTCGTTACCCA